CCTCTCTATAGTAAATCAAAATCAAGAGAAAAGGAGGCTTACTGGTGATGTGAACACCATAAGACAACATGACACCCATTTCTTTGAATAGCCATCGTCTTCAAGGTATAATATACAGAAATCATTAATGATGACACGGGGCCTCCTCTTCTACTCAGACTATTGCTATTTTTATTTTAAAAGGCTCTAGAGTAGAAATAAAAAAGACAATAGTGATTATCTCCATGGTAACCCCACCACCTAAGCAAGAAATTATTTATTTATTTATTTAATTTTTTAATGACGGTCTTAATTTAAGGAATATATATTCTTCTATCTCCCATGTTATTCTCTACTATAAGTAGAAGGGAATGTTGTTTGATAACGTAACACAGTCAGGGAGCTTTGAAGATCATTTCCCTAAATCAAGAAGCCCAGAGACACTTTTCTAGGACCATCCCTTCCAAAGCATGCTTGGCTCCCAGGAAGCCAGCCTCCCAGCCACCACCTGCTCCTCCTCCCCACACCTCACCCAGATCTCAACAGCCAGGTTGCAGTTCCTGATTACTTGTGGGTACCTGTTCCCCAGCCCTCCAAGAAGCAAGACTGATAAATCTGAGGAAAATCACTAAGCAAAGTCATCACCCCTAATTTACCGCCCCTATTTGTTCTCCCACTATTTTCTTTCTCTAACAATTCAGACAATTAAAGATTACCTGGGGCAAAAACTAATTTTATCAAAAGGGAAACTGAGCCTCAAGGACATGAAGTACCCAAAGGGATGTGTAGTTAATGGCAGAGCTACAGCAAAAACCAAAGTGCTATCTCATTGGGTATTCTGGTGGTTTAGTCGCTAAGTCGTGTCCGACTCCTATGATCCCATGGACTGTAGCCTGCCAGGATGCTCTGTCTATGGGATTCTCCAGGCAAGAATACTGAAGTGGGTTGCCATTTCCTTCTCCAGAGGATCTTCCCAACCCAAGAATCGAACTTAGGTGTCCTGCATCGCAGGCAGATTCTTTACCGAGTGAGCTATGAATTTCCAGTCCAGCATTTCTTCTGTCTCAGCAGGCTGGGGTATAAACCTGAGCCAGCTGTCTCTGTAGACAACTACCCTCCCCATTCTGCACACCATCTTTCTACTTGACTCTTTCTCCAGCTCAAATGTGCATCTGAGAAATCCGTGCTGCTGAAGACTGAGCACAACCAGCTCCGATCACCACCTCAAAGTGATCATTTTTACACTTTTGTGAAAACTCACTTTACTTCCCATCCTTATGTTAAAGCAAGTGTTTGTACTGCAAAGGATGGCACACAGGGTGTATTTCATTGGCACGGGAGGCAGACACAGACAGGACAACTAGAATCAGCTTGTCCCCTTTGGCCAACAAGCACATTCACCTTGACCTCATCCCTACCAGACAGCAGAAGCAAGAACTCTTCCATTTAAGGATGGTCCAAAACAGATCACAACTTTACCACACTGCTTTCAAAATGATCAGGATGGAAAGTCAAAGTGTTAGCTTAGTATGGTCAGAGGGGTGCAACTGGGTCCCAAAAGGAAGAGTCAAGATTCCAAACTACCCAAACGTTCTTCATATTGTAATTCAGTCAAAATATTGAGCACTTCCTTTTTACTAGGTACTATGTACAGTGATACAAAGCCTAATAATATCTGTCTAGCAGGAAAATAAGATATGCAAACAAATGACAGGTGATACACTAGAATTATACATGGACAGCTGTGTGCCAGAGAGAAACCAGCAACACGGAAGCAGTCTGTGAAGACCTAAGTTGCATAAAGCCCCACATGTGGTAGCATAGAAGTTACAAAGATGAATAACATGCTGGCTTTGAAGGATGACAGTAAAATCTAAATTGAAAATAAACATATGTCTTAAACGTATTCTTCCCAGCCAAATAAAATACAGTACAAAATGAAGCAAGGACTTCCCTGGTTTTCTCATGGTTAAGACTCTGCATTCTCACTGCAGAGGGCCCAGGTTCAATCCCTGGTTGGGGAGCAAAGATCCCATAGCCATGCAGTTGTGGCCAAAAGAATAAATAAACAAGTTACTGTAGAGGTAGGTAAAATGTCGTGTTGTGGGAGCTGCTCATTCCAGCTATAGTGATCAGGAGGGAACTCCAGAACCAAAAGACACATTTGAACTGGATCTGGAAGGACAAGGAGAATTCTGATATAAACTGAGGATGAGAAAGGGCATTTCAGATACAGTACCTAATGAAAAGCGTGCAGGCATTATAGATCTCCCTTGACTTAAGATGGCATTACAGGGAATTCTCTGCTGATCCAGTGGTTAGGACTCCATCCTTTCACTGAATAGAGCATGGGTTGAAGCCCTGCTTGAGGTACTAAGATCCCGCAAACTGAGAGGTGAGACCAAAAAAAAAGATGGGGTTACATCTTGATAAATTGAAAACATCTTGATGTGAATGTATTTAATACACCTTAACCCACCAAGCATCATGGCTTAGCCTTGCCTCATTTAAGCGTGCCCAAAACACTTACTTTAGCCTACAGTTAGGCAAAATCACCTAACACAAAGTTCATTTTATAATATTCAATATCCCATGTAATTGACTAAATAATGTGCTAACGGTGAAAAATACAATGGTTGTCTGGGTACAGACAGTGGTAAGTGTATCAGTTGTTCACCCTCGTGATTGCATGGCTGTCTGGGAGCTGCCACTGCCCAGCATCACAAGAGAGGACAGCACCACATATCACCAGCCTGGGAAAAGATCAACATTCAAAATCTGAAGTACAGCTTCTAGTGAACACATATCACTTTTGCACATTGCAAAGTTGAAAAAATTGTAAGTCGAACTATAATTCAGGGACCATCTGTAGGAGAATACTCGGGAACTCCTGAGTCCAAGTCATGGAGTATGGTGGAGGGTGAAACTGTAAAGTTTGCAGATGTTCAATACTAAGTCAAACATTTGAAAAGACCCTGATGCTTGGAAAGATTGAAGGCAGGAGGAGAAGGGGACAACAGAGGATGAGATAGTTGGATGGCATCACCGACTCAATGGACATGAGTCTAAGCAAGCTCTGGGAGCTGGTGATGGACAGGGAGGCCTGGTGTGCTGTGGTCCATGGGGTCACAAAGAGTTGGACACGACTGAGTGAATGAACTGAACTGAAGGGGTTTGCATTTTGTTCTGTACACAACCAAGTGAGACAAGACACAATCAGAGCCATACTTTGAAGATCATTATTGCAAGAATGTTGAAGGTGAGTGGAAGGCAGAAATTTGGATGAGCAAATGTGGCTATTAAGACAGTTCAAGTACACAAATGAGCCCATCTATGGAAAAGAACAGACTCACAGACGTAGAGAACAGACATGTGACTGCCAAGGTGGTGGTGGGGAGGGCAAGAAATGGAGTTGGGGTTAGCAAATGCAAGCCATTTTATGTAGGATGGATAAACACCAAGGTTCTACTATATAGCACAGGGAACAATATTCAACATCCTGTAATAAACCATAATGGAAAAGAATATAAAGAGAAAGTATATATGTATAACTGAATTACTTTGCTTTACAGCAGAAATTAAAACAGCCTTGTAAATCAACTATACTCCAGTTCAGAAAAAACAATGCAAGTGGGTGAGAATCTGAGTTAGAGGAGTGACAGTAGGTTTGGGAACAGGAAATGGATGTGAGAGACACAGCAGCTGCTAAGGTGAATAACTGATCACACGTGGGGGAGGGACGGGGAGCTCACAGTGACTCCATGTCTCCAAGGGTAGGTGGTGAGGTCAACACCAGAATCAAGGAAATCAGGGCAAGCTGCATCCCACTTCCTCTTCCCACTGTAGCTGCTTCATCGACCAAGGTCATCCATCTACCATTACCCCTGAGATTCATCTGTTCATGGCCTTCCCCACTGATTGGTTAAGGTCTGTCTAGCCAGGAAAATACCCCACTGCAAAGAAGGGTCAGAGAGAGGGAGACATGTCCCCAGCCACATCTGCATCCCTCATTTTATCATCCTTGGTATAGACTTCAAGGTTCCCTAGGAGGAGCCATTCTCAATGACCTGAAATCAAAGTTCACCTTACTTAGAGAGTGGAGAAAAAAGGAAGGAGGAACAATTTCCTTCTCTTTTTCCTTCTTATCCCCCATCTCTCCCTTCCTTTCTTGTTGTTACCATTGTCTGCTCTTCGCTGCCCTTCCCTTCTCTATCCTCGCCGCCTTCCTGCAATCTCTACCTCCACTTTCAATTCCCCTCTTTGTCCGACTATGTTTCCTCATTCCTTCTTCCTCCTGAGGAAGTTGCTTGGTGACATGCAGTGTTAGACATGTCTTTGATAGCAAATCTCATGTCTCTCAAATCTAGTTATTTGTTCCTCTGGCAGAGTAGACACTGAACAAAGCAGGCGTTAAATCAGTGAAATAATATACCCTGCCATCACGAAATTATGTATTGATCTTTTCTTGGTTTGTTGATATGGCAAGACCTTGAGTAGTTTCTGGAATGATGCCCATCACAACTGGCTAGGAAATCTGGTGGGGAAAGGCACTATAGAATGGGAAATCAAGGCATATGGCAGAAGAAGACTGTCAGAAGTTTGAATATGATGCCAAACTTTTATTTCCCTATGAGCTGGTAAAAGAGAGGACATCTTTTTTGGCAGCTTCATGCTTGCCCATAAATAAATAATTCCTCTGTCTCTGCTCAGCTCTTGACAAGTCATAGTTCCTTGAAGAATGAAGAGAGGACATGGTCTTTAAAAAAATGGCTTTCTGTTCTTCCCATTATCCTTCAGAAGCAGATTATTACCCGTCACGAAGGGGTGGTTTTTCTTTGACCTCATTTTGGGATGGAACTTTTAACCAAAATGGTGTCACCCCTGAACTCACTCCGACACGCCAACGCAAGTGACCACAGAAGGAGCAAAACCCTATAAAAAGAGAGAAGATAGCACTACACTTTGTCCATCTCACAACGAGCACAAGCTCATCCATCTACAGTGAACTGGGAGGAATTACCATGGCTTCTATGAGAACTTCATCTATGGTGAGTCCTGCACTAATGTGTGATGCTCTTCTTGATTTGAACCAGATCAATTTCTGGACTGCGGGCGTGAAATTCTGGATTCTAACTATGGAAATCCAAGAATACAGTCTATATAGGAAGGGAAATGAAACCCTTGATAGATATTTGTCATTATTTAGCATTTTCAAGAACTGGTGCGTATCAGTTTGAAAGATGAGGTTAAAACTGAAAGATAGCTATACTGGGGCTAAACCACACAAGAAGCATCACGTGACATTGTGCTGTAAGAGAGAATGCTTATTGAAAATCTGTTTCTCTGGGTACAAGGGATTTAATAGAATTCTTCCACAGTGTTTTTCTTTAATTCAAAATAAGATGGGTCACTATCCTTGAAGATTTAATGTTTCGGCAGTGGCTCTTCTTTCCATTATTGTATTATTACACCATCATCTTGGTGCACTAACCCTGTTTTCTTAGGTACGTTTCCCAGCTTTTCCAAATTTACATATTTTGATTCTGTAGTCAAACTGGGTTTCAAAAAATATGCTTTAACAATATTTTACAAACAGAGACCGTTTATTCTAACCTAAAGTTATACATGCATCTTTTTTGAAACCCAATTTGATTATAGAATCAATATATGTAAATTTAGAAAAACTGGGAACTATACTAGAAAATATAAGGGGAGGTTGAGTTTGGGCTTGGATGTTTGCCAGTGGTACCAACAGAATTTCTAACTGCTTCTACATGGATTTTCTACAGCCCTTTATTTCTAAGGTGTACATTCCCTTTTACGCAATATTTCGCAAAATGTAAGGGGAGAGATCAATGGTGTAGGAGGGCATTTTTTCCTAGAAAATCAAGGTTGTTACCCTTCCAAAGACCTGAGAGTGATGCATATACTGATATATTGATGACTTGCCATTTTCACTAAAATTACTGTCAGCCAATGAATAATGTGGTTTTTCTAAATTAAAAAAAAATGTTCAAGACTGGTAGAAATGCCATGGTCCTAATATCACTTTGGTCATCTCACCAGCTTTTCACTTAACATATTTGAAAATTTAGTGTAGATTATCCCGGACCATAGAATGTTCTCTACTATCAGCAATTCAATCATCGCCACAGTGTGTTAACAAAAACCATGTAGTACTAACCCAATCTACCTCTCTCTTCATCCAGTCACTGCTACTGCTTCTGAGTCTGGTGGCTCTTGTGAAGGCAGGAGTCATCATCCCACAGAGTCCAGGCTGCCCACCTACTGAGGACAAGAACTTCCCGCAACATGTGAGGGTCAACCTAAACATCGTTAACCGGAACACGAACTCCAGAAGGCCCACTGATTACTACAAGCGCTCCACCTCACCTTGGACTCTCCAGTACGTAAGCACCCCAGATAAAACCTCTGCATTCTTCTACATCAGAAGAACGCATCAGACTGACAGTTAAATCATCTGAGGGAAGTGATATTATTCATTCAGAATAGCCTGTCAAACCTGGAAGAGCCATTGTGCAAACCAGTGATTCTCCAGCTTTCTTTCTATAAATTTCTTCCATAGACCACAGCTCTCCCCAGACCATCCATAACACCTAGCCTACTAGGTCTTGATGTCCCCAGAATCCACCCAAACGAATGGTGGTCATCATTCTGATATTTATGACACCCCAAGTCTATTGTTTATTTATCCAAAAAAGAAACAGACATTTAGCATGGGAGGTTAGCACTGGAATTCTCTTTCCCAGGGCTACCAGCAAATACCCTGGTAAAGTTTGTTGATAACAACAATTAATTAACTGGGGTTTTTGTGCTTTTTTTTGGTTATATTAGCACTGGGAAAATTAGCTTGAATCCCAGTAGAAGAAGTGTTCCATTGGGTGTTTCACCCCTTTTGGACTTAGTCTTGAATTACATCCCCAACAGACTGACATTCGCTGTGTCTTTAATACATCTAGTGGTAGTGGTGGTGGTTTAGTTGCTAAGTCATGTCTGACTCTTGCGACCCCATGGACTGTAGCCCACCAGGCTCCCCTTTAGACACTATGATGGATCAAATATGAAAGGTATTTTGATAATTTGATTTCAGGCAAATGACCTCAGTTATGTGGAGACTACAGATTCACCTGTCTATAGGGTCTTTTATTCTTACTTCTACTTACCAAGAACAGTTCAAATAAATTAAACTAAGTCCAATCATTCTCTCAGCCAGAGGAGAGGAAGACGGGAAAGTTAGGGGGGCTTCAGATTTTGTTTCCAGCCCTTCCTGTCACCCGAGGGCTTTGTTCCATCAATGTGTTGTCAGATAAACTTGGATGCCTTTCTTGTTTCAAAGACAGACTTCAGTAAGTCAGATTAACAGCTATCTTGTTTCTAGATGACTCTTTTACTTTTTTTCATCTATCACATGTACCCTAAAAAATATCCTTTATGACAGATTAAATCCTTTCTGTACTTTCAGTCTGTCTTCTTTTGTTTATTCTTCAAAGAACCTGGGAAAAGTTGATCGTTGTTTCTTTTTTCTATAACACTTCATGGGCTTCCAAATCCAAGCTTTTCCCAAACGGCTTCTTTTCCAGACTAACAGCACTTAGAGAATTTGCAATGCCCATCATTTGTCCCCCCTGTGAATTTGCTTCCCTTTGCTCACTCCTACTTGATTTCCTTACTGCCCCACCAGGAATTCACTTTCTTCCTGGCTTTTGTCTCCCTTGCAGCCGCAATGAGGACCCTGAGAGGTACCCCTCTGTGATCTGGGAGGCCAAGTGCAGCCACTCAGGCTGTATCAATGCTGAAGGGAAGGTGGACCATCACATGAACTCTGTCACCATCCAGCAAGAGATCCTGGTCCTACGAAGGGAGCCTCGGCACTGCCCTCACTCCTTCCGGCTGGAGAAGATGCTGGTGGCTGTGGGCTGCACCTGTGTCACCCCCATTGTCCGCCACGTGGCTTAAGAGCTTTCTGCCTGACCCCTACTCCCCAAATTAGTTAGGCTTTCTGGGGAGTAGACCCAGCCCCACTTCTGACCAAAATTAGTTATGTATTTAATAAGTCCTGAAATAACTTTGGGGCATAAGATTCCACTTTGATGTATTACATGCTTTATTTTCTATTCTTTTAAGACAAGTTTCCAGATTTGTGAATATTATTATTTAAAAGGTAAAACCTATATTTATATGAGATATTTATGGATCTATTTATGTTTCATAAGTCTTTAGAAAAAAGGTGAAATATATGAGTATCTGTTTTGCCTAGGGAAATCCTAGATAGGATTAAATAGCAGTTGAAAATTTCTGAGCTTGTACTACATATGGCTATAGAATTTTCTCTTCCTTATCTCTTTGGAGTACATGACACAGCTGAAAAGAGACTATATCTAGTTTCATATTTATTAACTTAATTTTGTAAATTATTGAGACATTACAAGAGAGACAGCAAGTCTAACTGCTCTGTTAAACTGTTGTCATAAAAACTATTTGTAATAATAAAGTTTGGGAAGAAAATTTGCTTCTTTATTCTTTTCTCATTAAAATGTCTTCAGAGAGGCCAGAATACTGGAGTGGGTATCTGTTCCCTTCTCTAGGGGATCTTCCCAACTCGGGGATGAAACCAGGTCTCCCACATTGCAGACGTATAGGTATCTGTTCCCTTCTCCAGGGGATCTTCCCAACTTAGGGATGAAACCAGGTCTCCCGCATTGCGGACGTATTCTTTACCAGCTGAGCCACAAGGGAAGCCCAAGAATACTGGAGTGGGGAGCCTATCCATTCTCTACGGGATCTTCCTGACCCAGGAATCAAATCAGGGTCTCCTGCATTGCAGGCAGATTCTTTACCAGCTGAGCTACCAAGGAAGCCCTTCAGAGAGGTCAGCCCTTTCCTATTTGGAAGGGTATACAAATTTATCAATAGAACAAAACAATGCATGCTTTGAGTAGCAATACCCTCCACCTGCCCCAATTCCAGATTCTCAATTTTACTCTTTTCAAAACAATAGAGGGATTTCCCTGGTGGTTCAGTGGCTAAGACTCTGTGCTCCCAATACAGGGGGCCCAGGTTCAATCCCTGGTCAGGGAACTAAATTCCACGTGCTGCAACTAAAGATCCCACATTCTGCAACTAAGACCTGGAGCAGCCAAATAAATATTTTTTTTAAAAAAGACAGTAGAGGATGGAGACCCTCATACTATTATCCAGTGCTACAGACACATGCACTCATGAATAAATTAAGCAAATAAAAACAATGGCCCTGGGAAAATGACATATCATTGCTAAAAAACGTACAGGAGGGAAAAAAAAAGATCCTCCCCAAAATAGGACCTGAGGTTTGGCAGGAAGGAGGAAGTTCTGGGAGAAAACATGTTTTCAGACTAGAATGGCCTGTGTCTCCCTGAGCTCTGGCTGCTTTTGAAGATTAATGTCAACCAGAGATCTAGAAAAGAACATTTCTCTCTTCTCAGGCCATGTCCCTAGGACAGCCCCTCCAGCCCTCGGCCTCTAATTCAGGGCAGTCCAGGACACTGAAAAGAGCCACTGGGGCAAAACAAACTTCAAGCATGAGAAAAGTTCAGCCTAAGTAAAATAAAAACCAAACTGTATTCAATTCCAGAGTAGTTTCATGTTTCAAGTCATAACAATATTTCCCCATCATGGCCAAGCAGGTCATCTTGCCCTACTTCTGGGCAACCCTGAGAATTCTCAAGCTGGTCCCACAGGCTCCCTGCTTCTCAAAAGACCACCTTCTGCACTACTTTATTCCCTATGAACTCCAGCCCCACCCAGGGAACCATGGCTTTTCTCTGTTCCTTTGCCAATTCCAAACCCAAGGTCATCTTCTCCAGCCACGTCCTTCCAATGCTTCTGTACCCCAAGATCTTGAGTCTCATGACCATCTCCCATCATGGTCTTCATACAAGAAATTCACTGGCAGCGACTACTGAAGGTGTCTCACAGTCTCTGCTTTAAAACCTCTCCTTAAAGTATTGCAGTTCATTTCTCTTGTTTTCCTTGAATAGTAGTGGTGAAAATAAATGGTGTTTTACTTTGGGATGATGAGAAAATGGCATATACCACCACAGTCCTAAACCATGATTTCTCACTAGACTGTATTCCTGAGAAATTTGAGAGTGGGAAGAGATGGTTGCTTTCCAAGCCTCTTCTCCCTTGATATGCATTACTTTCATTTTCCCTTCATTTCCCTCAGTTAGCATCATCATTCACCCCATCACCTCTGCGGGAGATCTGTGAGGCACCCCTGACTCTTCCCTCTTCCTCTCTCTCACTCCTGACACCCACACATCCCCGGATTCATGAAGTTTCACTTCCTGAAAGTTCTCCAATTAACCCTCCCCCTGCCCAGGTTCAGGACTTCACCTTTTCTCGTTTCTCTCCTGCTATTGGAACAGCTTCCTGCCTGTTGTTGCTGCTGTTGCTCCTTTCCCTTCAATCCATCCTCCACTATCTATCTGTGGCACAAAATCAGACATAACCTGGCCCTGGTCCTGCTCTGTCTTTAATCTCATGTGACTTCCTACTTGATATTTCACCCTGCCATTATCAAGTCCTTGCTGTGACTGCCACGCTGTTCTTGACCTCAATACCTGCATCATGTCCCCTCTGTCTTGTTATGTCTTGTATGCCCCTCTGTCTTACATGCCTTTCCCACCCTCAGTTTCCTCTATTCATACCCTGCCAGTATGGTCTGAATGTTTGTGTCCCCCCCAAATCCAAATCCTAACCCCCTAAGTGATGGGATTGGGAGGCAGGACCATTGCGGGGTCATCAGGGCGGAGCCCTTCCTGAATGAGATTGGTGCCCTTATTAAACAAGCCCAGAGAGCCTCCCCAGCGTCCCAAGTGGCTCAGTGGTAAAGAGGCTGCTTGCCAATGCAGAAGACATTAGGGGGACAGTGAAAATAGCCTTAATATTTTGAGTGGATTAAGGGCAGTGGAACAGTGAGATACTTGTTTCTAATTCTGGTTCTTTAGTTCTGAGGATTCTGACATTTTCCTTTATTTTTCAAAAAATTGAGATGTAATTGACATATAAACACTGTGTTGGTTTGCAGTGTACAACATAATAGTTTGAAATATGCATATATCATAAAATTATTGCCACAGTGGGCTTCCCTGATAGCTCAGTTGGTAAAGAATCCACCTGCAATGCAGGAGACCCTGCTTCACATCCTGGGTCGGGAAGATACATACACAGGAGAAGGGATAGGCTGCCTACTCTAGTATTCTTGGGCTTCACTTGTGGCTCAGCTGGTAAAGAATCTGCCTGCAATGCGGGAGACCTGGGTCCAATCCCTGGGTTGGGAAGATTCCCTGCAGAAGGGAAAGTTTTAGGGGTACAACATAATAATTTGATATATGCATATATCAAAAGATGATTTCTGCAATAAATTTAGCTAAATCTATCATCACACATAGTTACAACTTTTTTTGGTTATGATTAGAACTTTTAAGATCTATTCTCTGAGCAACTTTCAAATATACAATACAGTGTTATTAACTATAGTCACCATGCTATGCGTTACAGTTCCAGGACTTCTTTATCTTGTAACTGGAAGTTTGTACCTTCTGACCATTTTCATCCATCTCAGTATTTTTTAAACATAAAATATCTTGCAAGTATATTAAACTTGTTTAATTTCTAAAAATAAAGAAGATACAAGCCTACACCCAGGAGGAAAATATAAAATACCAAATCAGGAACCAAAATTATATTGATGTCAGACTTATCCACATCAAACACCAGGAAATAATAGAGTAAAATCTTCAAAGTTCAGAAGGAGAGAAAGTACAGATCAGACAGCCTCTGCTCAGACAAGACCTCTTTGATCATCAAATGATACATTTGTGAAATTTTATTGAGTTATGCATTTAAGAGTTGCACATTTCTCTGTATGCAATGGTTCAATACAAATTTTGCTTAAGAAAGAAGAACAATGTCTAACACATGTTGGTTCTCAATAAATATTTGTTAAATGAAAGAATAAATAATTCAACCCAAAATGCTCCATCAAATAATATTCTGTGAAGTCAACTGAAAGGCTTTCTCAAGCATGTGATGACAGAGAAAAATTCTATGTGGGCATCTTCATGGTTAAAAACAACATTCAGAGATAGACTTTGGCTGACTGACAGATGAATCAAAGCTAAGAATTCAGTAACTCAAATGGGCACTTTATTCTTTATATTCTTTATATCCTGGATCCCTGTGAGCCCTGAAACAAACTATTCATTGGGTGAAGTCTAAGTAATATTTATAACGATGTTGTAAAAGCTTTTCAAGTGAGTAAAAAAAACAAAAGAAATTGTAAAAAAAATGTAATATATCTAAAAAAGTAAGCTAATAATAATACAATAATCATCAGCATCAAGATGATTGAGCACACATCTAGATGATCTATATCATTACCATCATCTAAACCTGTGATCTAAATTCAGTGAACCAAGCTCCAAAATGGAAATGAAAACGAGGGACACAGTACAAAGGCAGAAAATTCCTCAGCTTCACTAAAGTGAGGTCAAAAGTTATCACTCCATTCTTGGCTTTGATAAGTAGATGATTTAAAAGTCACCTAATGTGATAAATAAGCTAAAATCTAAATGTAACCATCAGTCAGTGTAAACAAATCATAAGCCCTATAAGTCTCCACAAAGGATAAAAGCCAAAAGCAAAGGCAAAAGAAAATACAATGGGGGAAAAAAACTTGGAAAGTATAAAATAAGGAACAAAATGAGTAAACATTTAAAATTCACCTCTTAAAGAACAGGGTCTCAATTTGTTTTTGTTTTTGCTTTTTTTTACTTTTGAATATCTAGACTATGAACCTGAGTACCAGACACTCTCCTACCTCTGAGCCTTTGCTTTTGCTGGTCCCTCTGCCTGGCACATTCACCACTAGAAGTTTCACAATATTCCTTCGAAGCCCTCATTTGAGTCTTTGG